TTTTTAATTTTTTTTTTTTTTTTTTTTTTTTTTTTTTTTTTTTTTTTTTTTGAGATTTTTCGTACTTGAGATTATTTTAATATCTGTGTTAATCGAGTTATAAATAGTGCTTTGAGAAATTCTATTAAGGAAATTAGGGAAATTGATTTGTATATTTATATTTAACATATAATTCAAAAAGTGCAATACTGCATTTTTTTATACTGCAAATTTTATATATTTGCGACACATCAACAAAAATGAAAATCTAATGTTAATGTTATAAAAGATTCTAGCATGCCAATCCAGAATTAAATAATTTTAATTTATGTAATTAGATTTTTTTTTACTAATGAAATTATGAATCTTAATAAAAATATTACGTACCTTTCTCGTATATTGAAACTTCAAAATATTATAAATATTCATTTCCATAATTTTCATGTCATTTTTCATCTATTATTATTATATTTGAATCCAACAATTAGAGTTATCCTGAAGACTACAGTATTCCTGAAATAAAATATTTTGCACGAATAATATAATATAATTATGTGAATAAAAAAAATCACAATTTATCAAATAATAAAAATCCTTGAAATAATCATAGAATTTTTTAATTATCAACACGTTGACATATTTACAACACTTTCTTCCACTTTACACGTATTTTCTATTACGATAATAAATAATATCTGAAAATTTTTAAGAACAAAACATCTTTGCACGAATTGCTTCTCGATATAAGATATATATCCACCATCGAGAGTGAAAGAGCTATGCCTTTATCTTCGCGGAATGATACGCCAAAAATAATCGATACGTGGAAAATTGCCGGTTGTACATTCAGGATGTGACAATCACTTTGGCCCCTTTTTTGCGCCATGCATAATACACAACGATATATCTTATATTTCGTCCATCCATATCATTTCTATTTCACGCGAAAATTTTCGCTTTAAGAAAGACACGTATCCATCCGCGAAATGATCGAGTGTCTCGATAGATCAAAGTGATATCACTTTGAGCCGATCAGTCACACTTTTCTCTCTTTCTTTCGACTCTCATCAACCAAGGGTTGTGTGATTTAAGAGTTGAAAGGGGAAAAAAAATAATAATAAAGAATAAAAATAGAAGAAGACGAATCATGCACAAGGAAGGGTACACCGATGTGTCGCTCAAAGTGTCGCAGTTCCTGTTGAAATCGGCTGGTATATGGGTGATTGGAAACAACGCTGAGGAACGTCAGAGGAAGTTTGCTGCGTTCTACACATTCGCTGCCCTGATTTACGGTATATACGTGAATGCAGTGGATATTTATCACAATTTGGATAATTTGGCTGTGAGTTTGAAACACGAGTTCATTTATAAACTTGAAATATCGAATGGGTTATTAATTCAATAATTCAATTGCTTAAATACGAGATCATTTTTTTTTTCGAATAATCTTGAAAAATATTCGATAGATTAAATTTATTTACAATTAATTTTTAATATGCAACGATTCGTCGTTTTTACATTACGCTAAAGATTTGAACCTCGTGCGTTTATAAAAATATTGAAATATTAAATTACTTTTTTGCAGCATTGCGTCTTTCTGACTTGTAACATAATGTGCATATTATTGGGATTATTCAAGTGCTTCGTAATAAGCTTTTTCAGAATGGAATTCTCGCGTATAGTTTCATACGCCCAGAAACATTTCTGGCGTTTGGATTACGATTACGACGAGAAGATACTTTTCGGAAAGTGTCAGAAATTTTGCAGACTGTGGATCATAGTTGTGAGCATGATTACTCAATCCTCGTTGGCTTTCTACATAATTACACCAATTTATGGTAAGTCGATTCGTAATTGTATCGTGAATCGAGGAATCCATTTTCCAGAAAAAATAAATATATAGAAGAGTACAAAAGAAGAGAAAAATTATGTTTCAGAAAATATAGGGAAGAATAAATCGGATAGGATACTTCCATTCAAAATGTGGGTCGATCTTCCTTTAAGCGTGACACCGTATTACGAAATAATGTTCGTCATCCAGGTATTGTATATCTTCATTTACATTGTCATGTTCTTCACATAAAAATAAAATTTATATCAGAAATAATATTTCAGATATATCTTTATTTTAAATTATAATAATCATCCTATTTTTTTTTCTTTTTTGGATTCCAAAATTAACAAATATTAAATTTATTTATATGTTAACGAGATAAATAATGTTTCGGTGAATAGCATCCATATTTTTAAACTTCTTTTATTAAGAAATGCAAATGATTTTCATTTTCTTTTTTATCAAACGAAAGAATTTAAGGTTAAATTCTGCTTTCATCGCTGTCAATGTATATCAAGATATAATGTGCAAAATATTCGAATAATGAAGATTCTATATTCACATATATAATTGTTCCAGCGATGATTATTGCACACTTGACAGGTTAAGAAATAATATTCGCACAGTTATTGGCCGTAGAACAAATTGGCATCGCGTACGTGTGCAGCGACTTCTTCCTATGCATACTGAACCTGCACGCCCTCTACCAATTTCGCATGATGCAGCAGGAATTATTAAAGATCTGGTCGGACATCGATGAACAAACAACGAACGTCACAGCTTATACGAAGCAGTGTCACGTAGCTTTGAAAAAGTGCATTCGAAGACATCAATCGTTGATCGAATTTTGCAATAAACTCGAGCAGGTTTTCACGTTTCCGATCCTCAGCCACGTGGTGGTGTTTAGCTTGCTCATGTGTTTCGATACGTACGAGATACTTTTGGTACGTGTTCAAACCCTAATATTTTTATCTTCTTTGTGATCGTGATTAATATTTTTAATAATTTAGTAATTCACGTGAGAAAACATCTTAAAATATTATAAATAATTTTATTTACAACAAAGATAATTTTTTATTCGTGTTATATATGGATATATTTTTAATATCATTCGTTGTTCACAAAATGTTCCCATGAATACGTTAATATTCGTATATTAATTTTAAATAATTTTACAGGCAGACATACCTACGTTGAAGAGGCTCATCTTCATTTGTCACATGATCGGTAGTTTCATCCATATAATTTTCTTCACGTATATTTGCCACGGTCTGATAGAAGAAAGTGGAAACGTCGGGTTGGCCGGGTATTCAGGCTGGTGGACGACGTTGCCAATGAACGAGACTGGAAGAATGCTGCGAAAAGATATAAGGATGATAATGATGAAGTCTATGCGGCCGTGTTACCTCTCCGCAGGTGGTTTCTTTCCGATGTCTTTGGAAACGTCTACTGCGGTATGCAATCTCCTTTAACGTCACTTCTTTCTCGTTTAAAATATTAAAAATATTAAATATGATGTGATATAAAATTAGGAAATTTTTTTTAATAATTTTGGAAATGGAAATATAACGAATAGAAATGATTTATATTTAGAAAATTGGTATTTTATATTTTCTAAAGAGTAAGAGTTTAGCCCGTGAAAAAATTTTAATATTTTTCATTCGTGAAAAAGAAGGATCATTGCATTAAAAGAGATCGTGTGAGATATATCTTTATTATTAATCAAAATTTTTTTAATAAGTTCAGAATTTTTTTTTATTGCATTTTACGCGGAGAAAAATAAATACATATAATTTTTAAATAAAAATTAATCAAGTAATTATACTAATAACGTCAATTTTTGATAATATTTAAATTTATTCTTGTAGCTTGTAAGTTCCACAATGTCATACTTCACCTTAATGAGGGAATCGTCCATGAAAACGGGCTGAATAAATTGAACAAACGTATACAAATTTATATAAAATGAAAATTTTTTAATATTAGCTAAGAAACTTTAGTACTTTTAGTACTTTTAGTGTTTGTATTTCTTAGATGAAAAAATAAAATATGATTCAAATATCACATGGGGCAAACGTAATATTGATTCAACGATTTTTCTAAATCCTTTTAAGAATCCATATAAACTGACAATCATCCAATACGTCAAATTATTAAATTTCTTTCCTTTTTCTTTTTGTACTTCTTTTAAATCGATATAGATTTTATTCAGAAATGAAAAAGATAATTATTACTCAACATACATCTACATTTAATTTTCAACTTTTCTTTTCCTCTTAAAACAATGATTCGACATTTTTCACATGATTCGAAATTTCATCGAAATTTTGATAAATTTGATTATCAAGCAAAGAGAAGATTCTTCAAAATTTCGACGATAAAAATTGAATCGTTAAAACCCTCTCGATAAATGTAATTATACATCACAAAACTTTTCAAATTTAAAATTTCTCAACTTTATGATAAAAATTGTCGAAGTAGCACAAAGATCGAATCTATATTATTATTATTCCTCCAAGAAACACAAACTCAAACTCGACTCCCTTCGAAACTTTTCAACATTAATCGCCTTAAAAATTCGAAAGGACGCCACATCCCTTTGGACATAAGATAAACGACTAATAAACGCAATTCCTCCCTGCGTTCATCGTCGCCCGGAGGGGAATGTTCCCCTCCCGAATCATGAATAATGCAGCCGTGCAAGTCGACATCCGCAATTGGCAGCGTTGAAGTAAAGTGTGAGAAAGCGGGTGATTAGATAGGCATCTTGGAAAGAAGACCGACACCCGTCAAAAAACGCGGATGCGTGACGTCTCGTTAAAAATCGAACAAGGTTCAAAAGGGAAAAGTAAAAGGCAACGTACCCTTCGATCGATCCGCAAACGATGCGACGATCCCAAGGCAAAGACGTCTCGATAATTTGGACCAGTTTCCTGATGAAAATCGTGGGATTGTGGTTGGCCGCGGATCGGAACGAGCAACGATGCAGAGATTTCGCACTGATTTACACCGTTGGAACGCTATTTATCAGCATATGCATCGCGTTCAGGGACATATATTACTCGTGGGGAAATTTTTCCGTGAGTCAAGAGTATCGTTGAAAATATCTTCGTGAAAATGATTCTCTTTTTTTTATTTTCATTTGCTGAAACAAATACAAAGGTTGAAATCACAATTTATAATAAGTTTGTAAACTACGAATACTTTTGCAAATAGAATTTCATTGTCGATTTATATTGTGAATTAATTAACATCCCCATTAACATTCTGTTTGTGAAATTTCATCAAAATCTAATAAATATTTTCTTGAGAATAAAAATTAAAGAAAAAATCAAGAAAATTATTATTTCGAAATATTCGTTTTCAGATTTTATTTCATCCGAAATATGATTTCAGAACAGCGTTTTTATCTCTTGCAATATTTTATACGTGGCCATCGTGCTGTTGAAAATCGGCGTCTTGTACGCGCACAAGATAGAGTTCTTCGATCTGATCGCATACACTCAGAAGAATTTTTGGCGTTTTTACAACGATCCACAAGAAGTATTAATCATCACTGGGTGCAAGAAAATATGCAACTTTTCCATCGTCCTTATCGTCTTCTGTGCCCAAGGCACTTGCGCCGGCTACATGGTCACTCCGCTTATAGGTATTTATATTTCAATTATTCTATCTCTGAAACATATTTCAATAAATGTAGATTTTTACATAGCTTGAAGAAAAACGGGTGATAATAACAATAACGGTGTTTTTACTTCTCTAGAAAATATAGGGAAAAATGAATCTGACAGAGCACTGCCATTCAATTTGTGGATCGATTTCCCCGTAGGATTGTCGCCTTACTTTGAAGTACTTTTCATTGTACAAGTACGAATACAATCTACATTCTATTCCATTATCTCCATTTGCAATTTATTTTTACATAAATATTTAATAAATAGTGCAATATATCCAAATAACTAAATATATCAATTATCAACTGTATAATAACGATATACTATATTTTTTCAATTGCTTAATCAATTAATGATTAAAAAATTTTGTCTAGACCAACCGAGGATGATTTTAACCTTTTATACAGATACTTTGCGTGTATCACGTGGCCACGTGTTACATCTGTTTCGACAATTTACTATGCATCGTGAATCTTCACGTTGCCGGCCAATTTCGCATACTGCAACACAGATTGAAGAATTTGGAGGACGCGATCAGGGATGAAAATCAGGAATCATCGAGATTATTATCACGTTACGAGAACTGTTGCTATGAAAAGTTGAAAGATTGCGTGGGACAACACCAAACGCTCATCGAGTATTGCAGAAGATTGGAAAATATATTCACGGTGATGGTGCTTGGCCAAGTAATGTTTCTTGCCGTGGTGATATGCCTCGTCGGATTTCAATTGTTTCTTGTTCGTATGCCAATTTTGAATATTATTTTTTACGGTAACTTGGAATTTATTATTATTTTCAAGTTTGGGTGGATTTTGACACAGTATTCTTTTTATATTTAAACGTATAATTATTTAAAGAAATAATTAGAAATTATTAAAAATTATTTAATTTCATTAAAAAGATAATTTTTTTATAATTATTTCACGTTTAAGCAATAACGATTCATAAGATTTTATCACATATTAATCAAAATTTTCAAATAAATTTTAATTTATGTTTCAATTTATCTCCTTTCCAAAAGAATAAAATATCTTTTTATTATAATAAACTTCTTGATATAATAACAAAATATCCACTAATCGTGCATCATATTTCTATAGGCAGACATTCCTGTTTCAAAGAATCAGTTTGGTCAATAAATTTTACTTTATATCTCAATTTATCTCCTTTCCAAAAAAGAATAAAATATCTTTTCACTTTCTTATTATAATAATAAATATTATCTCCTATTCTATTTATCTTCTTATCTTCTTATTATGATAATAAATATCTGCTAATCGTATATCACACTTCTATAGAAGAAAAAGAAGGCCAGTCGATAAATTTTACTTTATATCTCAATTCATCTCTTTTCCAAAAGATTTAAAAGAAAATATTCTTTCATCCTCTTATGGTAATAATTATATACGTCGAATTTGTACAGGCGGACACCCCAGCTTCGAAGAAAGCCAGTTTGGTGCTCAATTTGGGCGGCACTTTCTTTCAACTTTTGATCTTCACGTATAGTTGCGACAATTTGATACGGCAAAGCGTGAACGTGGGCAATGCGGTATTCTCTGGGCCTTGGGTAAATCTGCCAATGAGTAAGGCTGGCATTCTCGTACGAAAAAATCTGATAATCGTCATAATGAGATCGCAAAAAGTTTGTTGTTTGACGGCCGGCAAATTTTTCCCCGTTTCTCTGGAAACTTTTACCGCGGTAATGTACAAATATTATTGTTAATATGTAAACATTAACTCGATAATTAACGAAATAATAACGTTAACATATTTAGTAAAAATCTTTGGAAAAAAGATTCTAACGATAGAAACAATCGAAATTTGCTTTGGATGAAACAAAGACAGGAATATAATGAGGTCGTTCCGTCTTTGTCGCGTTTCCGTCTAGTTTCTATCTCCATCTCACTTCAACTAACTGAAACTTAACTTAAATAAACCTCAACCGAAATTTTTCTATTTGATTTGACCTTTAGAATTAATCTTTCAAAAATATATTATAACATTTAAAATTTGTTTTCATTCTTAATCATAAAATATTTTTCTCTTTTCTCGTAAAATAAAATGAAGAGATGAAAAGCTTGTTACATTATCAATTTATTTTTTTACATGATTAATAATTTCTAATTATTTTTAATCTTTTACAGGTTCTCAGTACGGCAATGTCGTATTTTACCCTGCTAAAGCACTCGAGCTTAGAAAATATGTAATGAAATTTGCATAATTAATAACAGAAGAATTTGTACAATTATTGATCTACCCCTATTGCGTTTCTATCTTTCTGGATAGCACAAGTAAATTTAATATTGAAATTATTGATGTATAATTATATATTAACGACAATTTATAGAGATTTAATTATTGCAGATTAAGTGGCCATCAGGATTTTTATTGAAAATAATTTTAAATTATTAAAATTGAAAGAAAAGCTTTGAATTTTTCTTTTTATACTACATTCCAAAATTCAATAAAAATAAGAAAAAGAGTATAATTTAATAATATAATTATATTTAATCATTTTATTGTTGTTACACGTTTATCATTATCTTTATTCTCATTTTATTTAATTCTTTATCAACACGTATGCCTGATGGTCACTCAATTCATTGAGATAGCAAGACTGATAATTTATAGCAGTAGTAATACATTGAGTTTGTTATATTTCAATCAAATATTTATAATTAGTACTGAGTATAATAAAGTTCATATTGCAAATATGAAAATATATTCCTTGAACGTAATATCTTTTCGTTTCAATAATTGCTCGATTATCGAATTAATAAAAGTAAAATAAATAAATAAGTGAAAAATAATTCCCAAATAATAACTTTTTTTTAAACAATTCAATTCAATAAAAAATTACGTGTACGTATCATTTAAAATAAGAAACTCTATACTCACTTAAAATATTTGCAAAAATATCAATTCCAAAAACAACAAACACCATACAATTAATATATTTTTCGATTCATCAAGAGTATTGACATTGTTCACACGATGTTAAAGCAACGAATAACCAACAAGGATATCCATGAAAAATAATTTGCTAATCCTCTTAAAAAAAATTATCATATATACGTCAATTTCAATTGCACAATTTGCATGTAAAATTTAAGGATTGACTTGAACTTTTAAATCACTCTTCAACATATAATCGCGAGAATTACACTGCACAATATTCTTTGAACGATTCCAAGCGAAAACGAAATCCACTGAACTATCAACGTTATCACGTTTCAATATTCCTTAGATTCGTAATGCATAATTCATCGATCCTCTCCTCCTCTTTTCTTTTCACACGCCGAGGATAGTAATTACAATGACGTTGGAAAAGTAAAAGTGAAAGAAAATTATGAGATGGATGAAAGGCAAGGGCAGTGATCATTGGATCGATAAGACGTCAATCACTGTTGGTATAGATGATGATCAGAGGATTGAGGGATTGAAATAAGAGATCGAAGAACTCTGTCATTAAACACTCGAGATGAAATCGAAGGAAGTGAGAGATCTGTCAATCACTGTCACTGCTTTTTACATGAAAATCGCTGGATTTTGGACATCGAGTAATTACGTGGAGGAACGACGAAGGAACGTTACCATGAGTTACACGTTGTTTGCGATACTGTTCGCTGCGACCACCGAGGCCAGGGATTTGTACTTCTCTTGGGGAAATTTTAGCGTGAGTTAAAATTTCAATTTCTTCTTTGTGACGATATTATTAGTGAAAATTAATTAGGCTTTGTTATGTAATGTAATAATCTAAAGTTCCGCTCAAGAAATCTCTCAAAAAAGCAAATGAAAGACACTCGTTTTGATATGCTTCTCTAAATCAAATACAAATTTACTTAAATCAAGAATTTACATCTTGAATCAAAAATTACATATATTAAATTCTGTGTAAGAAAAAAAATTGTTCGTATAGTTCATTCAATTTGTTCAAACCTCTTTGCATTCTAAGAAATAAAGAAAAAAAAGATGCTGCATAGAACTTTGTTTCATATGAAATATCTTAAAAGAGGATTGTAAAAGAGGATTATTATTAGAAATAAGCATATTCAGAAAATTGTACAATGCATTCTAGGAAATAGAAAAAAAAAAGATGCTGCATAGAACTTCATTTCATATGAAATATCTTAATTGTAAAGGAGGATTATTATTAGAAATAAGCATAATCAGAAAATTGTACAATGCATTCTAAGAAATAAAGAAAAAAAAGATGCTGCATAGAACTTCATTTCATATGAAATATCTTAATTGTAAAGGAGGATTATTATTAGAAATAAGCATAATCAGAAAATTGTACAATGCATTCTAAGAAATAAAGAAAAAAAAGATGCTGCATAGAACTTTGTTTCATATGAAATCTTAATTGTAAAGA